AACTCCAATATTTAATCAAGTGGAAGGGCTACCCCTTATCAAAGGCACCATGGGTAAAAAGTAGGAATGCCCAAGCCAATTGCCTTTTAGCAAGGTTCCATGCAGAAAATCCAACCAAGCCTGGTGGCGTTTCATGAGCATAAACTTCCATATTTGCAATCAAATTGATTTTGTGTGTGTTGTACAGGTCACCTTCAAGAAGTGAGGGAAGCTGAATGTCAACTCATAAAACATTTTGTATACACGTTTTATAGTTAACAATAGAAAGAAGGGCGGGGGAGTTTCAAAGAGCAGGCAATAGTGTGGAATCAAAAGTACATTCCATTCATATTTTCTTCAAAAGCTGATTAGATGGCTGAAGCTTCTGCCACAAAAATATCTAATTGCAGAGCATGATTGATGACTCTTGACTATGGACATTTTTCATTGGATGATACACCCAGAGGGGTGGGGGGAAAAGCAGGATCAAGAGTGACAGTGAATTACGTGTCTCAGAGTTGACTATGCCCAGGTTAGTGCTGGATATAGAATGGTAGCTTCAAATAAATCTTCTTTAGTTTTGGGAGTGTGGCTCGAGGCTCATGATTTAATTGGAGTAACTGCCGGAACCTTGACAATTAGGTGTTTATACAGGTGGATAAAGATCTCTACTCCAGGTCCATAACTCTAATAAGTAAACAAACAAATAAATACTAGCTAATATTAGATGATGTCTACCACTGAGAATTTGGTCTTTGAATGTCTGTGATAGTCTCTGATAGACATCACTAGTGGTATTGTAAAAAATTATACTCAACCTATGTGTCTCAATGGCATTATGAACAGATAAAACAAAAACAAAACAATAAATAATAAAAAAATAAAAAATAAAATAATAATAAACAAACACAAATACATAAAATGAAATACATTTTGCAGTTCTAGATAATTACCTTTCCTTTGTGGCTGATTCCCAAACAATTTCCCTGCTTTCACTATATGCTACAGGATAGAATGAGTAGGACAGAGACTCACAAGTTGTTAGACCCACATTAGTGATTGTTTGGAAACTGTTTTTGTTGGCATGTTACCAGCAATTATAAAAATCCATCTATAAATGCATCATCATTTATACTAGCAATCATATCTGCTCTTGGTTCTGTCCCATCCTTTATGTTCATCTGCATGAATATCTGCTATGCTGCTTTTAATAGTAAAAATAAATAAATAAAAATCTTACTAACCTACTCAGAACTTGAGAAGTACCAGTTGGTCTTTCTTCCATTTAACAATTGTAAGTAGTTCAAAAGGGGAAAAATATCCTATTGGGTCTTCCTTATTTGTCAAGCCTACTTTATGGTCATTTGTTGTTTTATGGTCATTTGTTGTAATTTTCTAGGGCATATAGAATATGCAGGGAATACAGTGTGTGCAAAATTTCATTATAATTTTATGTGTATTATTACCTACATTAGTGGTTTCTTATATTTTTGACAACAGTATGTGTATGCTCATATAAAATAGCTCTTGGGAATCTTTTGCCCAATCTCAAACTGACTATTATGCTACAGATATCTGTTCTTCTTCCCTCTCCTTTATTCTTTAAGACATTTTAATATTCCTGCTTGCTTTTGTTTTTTCTGAGCAGTAGAACTCACCTTTAAACATATCACCAGGCTACTACAACTGTCATCATTTTTAATTTTTGTGAGAGCTTATAATCAATCCCAAATGAGACAAGAGACATTATTGAAAATAAAGTTGAGGCTAGAGGCTGACACATGGCTTCACAGCCTGGCATTTTCTCATCTTTATAGGTAAGAGGTTAATTAGGGAAGAACTCTGATGAAGGAAAACTACCTGTGGACACACTGATAGAGAAACACATATTTATACTGATAAACAGCCACTACCCAAGATTTCAGCAGAAATCTTTTCTCAATCTAATTGTAGTAGTCAAATTTTAAATATTTGCTACATTAAAAATCGCTATCCTGAAGTAGGCCTTTTTCTCCCTCCACTATAGATATATTTTTTGCTTTCAAGATGAGAAAAAATGAATATATTCAGCCAGAATTTAGAATTAATATGTTTTTCAGTTGAGCAACAAACTTTTTCATCAGTTAATATAATGAAACTTTGCATTATTTGGATGTTATATTGCACAAAAGCACAGCTTCCTGAAACGGTAGATGTTGTGCTTGGCTGCACTTTTAATAACAATTAGGCTAATAGTATCAAAAAATAGACCTAAACTTTTAGGTTCCTCTGATGACTAAAAAGCCTCTACCAAGATAGATAAGCCTGACCTTGAGATACTGATACATTTGGTGCACTTTTTTTCAGCATGGAAACTTGAGATCCAAGCTATATTTATCCAAGCATTTGTGTCTACAATCCTCAAGGGCTGAAATCTAAAGAAGTTATTCAAAATCCTAAAATAGTGTTGGAGATTGGTGATGAACTACATGAAAGAAAGAAAACTGTAGTTTAGCTTAGCTCAGATTAGATAATGGTATCCTCATCAATCAAATGACACATCGGAGAATTGCTGCAAATCAATACAGCAATTTTGGGTATTGTTTTGAAGGGAATGTCAAAATAAAAAATAAAGACTCCTTTGTGTTGTGCTTAAGTTATATTTGCCACAGATACTTATTGCCTTCTATTTTGACTTATTTTTATTTTCCTGAGCTTGTTTGGTCTTCCCCAATTCAGATTGGAACCTGTTTAGCTTTTTGAGATAATTTACCACTGGCACTTGATATGACAAATATTTAATTAAAAAAATGCTTCCTTAGCTTCTTACTCATTCAGTGCCTTTTGGTTCACCCTGCATTCTATTTCTCTAAGTAATTCATAAGACGCTGGTGCTTTAATAATGGAATTCTTTCCAACATAATAGAAAACAAAGATTACTTGGTTATCCCAAATCACCTCAGCACCCAGATGTAGTCTAAGAGCAAGTAAGAGGTCCCATCTGGAAGAAAAGCGGGAAAATTATGAATTCTTGCTCAAATATATCAGAAACATGCATATACACTGAACAAAATTGACATAACAATACTGAGTTTCTTTGCTGAGCTGGCATAAAGTAACCACAAAAGTTGCCATTTTTCAGCCACTATCCTGCTTTTTGCAATGTGTGTCTCAATACTGGGCACTACATTTATGCTCAGGTTTTCCCCACTAAGAGTAAGAACTAGTTTAAAAATATTTACAATCTCAATCTTTGTTCTCACTGATAGTGTTGGCATGGACATGGGGCAGGGGGCAGGGAAGGCAACTTATGAAATATGCATTGTGGTGCAAAGTCTTCCCCATATGTATTTGTGTGCCATGTTGCAGTGCACATGAGAAAAGACAGAACTTAGGTCATAATATCATGATGCACATTTTGTCATTATTTTGGTTATTGTTTCTGTAATCTATAAGAGTTAGGTAGATAGACTGCTTTTTTATATCTATCTCAAAAGTTTTTATTTATTTTCCATGAGACAAGAATCATGTAAACAGGAGGTGTAAAAAGAAGAATATTTTCCCATAAAATGTATACGTTAATTATTGTTAATTATTAATATTAATTCCTTGACTAAAATCATTGAAAAGCAGGACCATGACTTTAAGAAATCAAAGGGACAGAAAAGTGATTATAAATGTTTGCCTCATTGGTTATACTGTGGTTGATTGATTAATTCATCATGTGCCATTATGATATATTCTTAACCTGGTCTCTTTCCACAGGGCATCAATTGCCACTATAATTGAGTCCATCCACCTTGCTGCAAGTTGTCCTCTTCTACATCTACATGTATACATCTACATTTATCTGTGCCTGTGTATACACACACACACACACACATACACACAGAATCACAAATAAACCCAATGGACCATTGAAATTTAAAAAATGAATACTTATTCACACTCACATATATCTACCTTCATATACATGCACATGTGTGTGTGCATGTGCATGTGTTTGTGTGTATTCATATTTTAAATTTAATTTAAATCCAGGCATTATTGTTCTTATTTATGTGGAAAACCACTACTTCCACATTCTCCTGTGTTGCGTATGCAATGTTCAGTGTTTTTTTCAACCTCAGCAACTTTAAGATATTTGGATTTCAACTTTTAGAATTGGGGAGTTAAGTCCACATGTCTTAAAAATTGCTGAGGTTGAGAAACACTGCCTTAATAATATACTGCCCTTCTTCTTCTTCTTCTTCTTCTTCTTCTTCTTCTTCTTCTTCTTCTTCCTCCTCCTCCTCCTCCTCCTCCTCCTCCTCCTCCTCCTCCTCCTCCTCCTCCTCGTCCTCCTCCTCAAAAAAGCTGTTTTCTTATCATGTGAGGCGAATCTGTAATGTGTGCTGGACGTTGGGGATGGTATAGGATAGGGGAAGGCTTGTAAAACTTCTTAATAAGTGGGGGCTCTTACAATAGGAATTCAGTTTGGTATATTTCAGTTTCAAAATAAAAAATCTGCTGGATAGGAAAACAGTCCCTAAAAATTGAAGAAGAAAAAAGCAGTATTTCTTGATTTACTTATTTCTGATCACATGTAAGATATCTTCAGAATTAATGCATACTGCATAAATATTTTATATCTTGAATTTAGTCCAAAACATTTCATGCTTACAATTTCTCTGTGCCTCTTCTATTTGTATTGCTTAACAATTAATGATTGATTAGTTATTCTAAGTATTTATTACTGGGATTTTTATGTCACTTCAATGTAGTAAGTTTACAATAATCACACAACAATAAAATAATAAACCACATTATCCAATCAATTTATCGCCCTATTGCACTGTATCTTACACAGAATAACATGGTATTCTGATTCCATCCACTGCCCCAAAAGCTCTTAGAGATAGCATTTCATAAGTGACTGAAAAGTCATAGAGAATTGCCTCCTACAGATTTCCAATAATATAAAACCATATAAAAGCAAGACCAACAGTAGATAAAGAAGCTAGGAGACAAACGAGAAAATAAGACAAAAGTGCAGTACTTACTATTGACTAATTGGCCAACACTCAAAGCTGAAGATGAGGAGGAGGAGGAGGAGGAAGAAGAAGCCTGACGCACTGGGCTTTGAGATATAGATGCTTGACTATGAGTCAGGTGTAGAAGATTAGTCTGTGAGGCTGCTTGTCCTACTTGTGCCTGAGAGGGCTGATGGAGCTATGGATAAAGACAAAAACATTTTCAGGAATAAAATATAGATGTACCTAACCTATCTCGACCATTCCCCTCACTGGGCTCCTGTGGCCTCGTCACCCTGTGTCACCCTTTATGACTTATCTTTCAAAGATCTCTGGAGTTTGAGTTTGGGGGCAGGTTGTTCAATACCTTAGTGTGTGGCACGAACCAGAAATGCCCTCCACTTTTGGAGTGGCCACAGTGCAATGTCATTCCATAAATGGATTGTGCCCAGTGGTGGGACTCAAAATTTTTACTACCAGTTCTGTGGGCGTGACTTGGTGGGCATGGCGTGGCTTGGTGGGCATGGCTTGGTAGGCATGGCAGGGGAAGGATACTGTAAAATCTCTATTCCCACCCCACTTCAGGGGAAGGATACTGCAAAATCCCATTCCCTCCCTACCCCACTAACCTGCTTTCCAGCTCCATTCTCCGATGCAGGGCAACAAAAGAAGACCCAGCCGATAAGCTGGAATTTGGGACGCAGATAATAGATGGGGATGTGGCCGGTCAGAGGTGGTATTTGCCGGTTCTCCGAACTATTCAAAATTTCTGCTACCAGTTCTCCAGAACTGGTCAGAACCTGCTGCATACCACCTCTGATTGTGCCACACAGTTCAGGAACGAAGAGGCCTGCTCTTCCCTAATGCAAATTCTGGAGAGCTCTGCAGCAATCTGTAGTGATCCATAGACTCCAGAGATCACATTAGGGAAGCAGAGCAATCAACTCTGTCCCTAAACTAACCCCTGGAAGAGAGCACCATTTTAGAGTGGCTACAATTATTTACAGCTCGTCTGAAAATGGTGCTCGCTTCCAGAAGCAAACCACATGGCCTAAGGGTGAGGTGGCATGCTCTTCTCCACAGGATCTCTGGAGTTCTGCAGATAGTGCAGATCTCCTGAATCTAACTTCCAGAGCTTTTAGAAGAACTACAAAGATAAGTGAGTGATCAGTGATGATGGGATGAGGAGGAGCATGCAGAACTCAGTGGGTGGGAAGCAGGCTCAAGCCTAGGGGGTTCCAAGGGACAGGAATGGGATGCTCTGCTTAATGACCCCATTAATGTTTAATATTCTGCTTAATGGCTGCATTAATGCTCATTTACTTGTTGGCCTGACTTGAGAGGTGACAGTGTGATTCCTTGTGTATTGATTACTGGCAATATCTGGTTTCCAATGACTGTTGCAATGATTTGACCTTGGGCATTGGTCAATAACTGTGGTGTAATTGGCTGTATTTGAAGGCCCTGAGCTCCTCCTGCTGCTTGATTGGATGAGACTGGATTAGGAATCAGTGGAATTGTTCCAATAATCTAAAAGAAATAGAAAACATAAATTCTGTATATAATAAATATTTTATTGTGAAAGTAACACATCTAGGAACACAAGGTATTTTACCTGCCTTGAAACTCACATTTTGTCCAACTAATTTATTAGTTGTGACCATATATGATAACTGATATACTGTAAATTAGCAGTCTTTATCAAACTGTCTTCTTACATTCTAGTATATACTGCTTGTCTTCTGCTATTCTTCCCTTGAAGGCTTGAATTCCAAAACAGCAAGGGCCATGTTTAATTAGAGATCAACTGGAGATGTCTCAGATTCTCTCAACAAAGAAGTAGATAATTTTTTGGTGACCCATAGCAATAGCTTTGGGGAGACAAAGGCCACCATGTGGGGGAACAATGCTGAAAGCAGATAGACTGATACCACAGCATAAAGGTTTTTTTACATTAAAACACTTTTTAAAATGTTTTTTTCCACATTAATTTCATTATTGAAATGGATTGACTCTTTGTTAACTTATGCCAGGGGTGTCACACTCAATTTCATTGAGGGCTGAATCCTCCAGGGGCTGTGGGGGGAAGGAGGGGCGTAGCCAGGGTGGTCATGCCCAACTGGGAATGGCCAGGGGCGTGGCCAGCTTGATGTCCCTAGTGTGGGTGGTGCCTACGGCAGCCGGTTGGGGTTGGAGAGGGAATCCAGGGATCTTTGATGGGTGGGGTGAGGGCGGGAGGCTCATCCCATGGGATGAGGTAAGGCGAGGCAGGGGGCAGGGCAGCTACAGTTGGTGTGCTTTCAGCTGCTTTTGGTGCTGCTCAGTTTCCCACCCCACCCCAGCCAGGGTGGTCTGGTGAGGGAATTGCCTTCCAACTTCTCCACCGTGCTACAAATGAGGATTGACCATCCCCCAAGTCCTGCTGCTGTCAAAGTAAATCCCAGGCATTGCGCTGCAATGAACAGATGAAGAGCATAGCTTTTGTCTGAAGGGAAAGGAGGAGCAGGGAGAAGAAAGAGGGAAAGCAGTCAAGTGAGAAGTACCATGCTGGGCAGACACTGAAGCACACTGCCACTAGCCCTGGTATAACTCTCAGAGGTTGGATCAGATCTCTCTCTCTCTCTCTCTCTCTCTCTCTCTCTCTCTCTCTCTCTCTCTCTCTCTCTCTCTCTCTCTCTCTTTTGTGCTTCAGTTTGTGCTGGCAGTACTTCAATGCTGGCCAGTGGGTTGTTTCCCAAAGAGGGAAACTCTTTCTTCTTTCCACTCCTTTTGTCCTTCAAACAAAAGCTGTGCTTTTCATCTGCCCACTGCAGCGTAGTATCCAGGATTTATCTTGACAGCAGTAGGGCTTGGGGGATGGTCAATCCTCATTTGTGGCATGGCAGACAAGATAGAAAACAATCCCCCCCACCAGACCAGACCAGCCTGGTGGGGGAACAGGGATTGACCATCCCCCAACTGTCTGGCTTCATGGTGGCAGCTCCAAAAACCCTGTCCAGGACCCCATGTGGCTGCCAGCCCATTTCTCCTTGCTCACTGACACAATGGAGCAAGAGGCTGAGCAATGCACATGGGGTCCTGGACAGGGCTGCAGGAGATGTTGCAAAATGAAGCAGTTGTCAGGATGGCCTGACTGTGGGGCACTCAGGTAAGCTGGGGCAGGGCGTAGGGGGCAGCTCCACACCCCCCACTTTGCTTCATCCTCCATCCTCCACCGCTTTGCTTTGTGACCGCTGCACCATTGTGTTGCTCAGCCTCCTGCTCCTTTACAGTGTCAAGCAAAGAGAAGACCTGGCGAAGAACAAAGAACGAAGTGAGGCAGTGGGGAAGGGGTGGAAGATGAAGCAAGGCAGGGGATGTGGAACTGCCCTGCACTGGCTTACCTGAGGGCATCCTCTTCCAGGGCAGCCACATCCCTTAACTAACCTGCTCTCCATCTCTGTTCACCATCACAGCGTGGAGGGAAACAAAAGTAGCATGTGAGACTAAAAAAAATATTTCAGACTTTCCAATTTCTCTCTCTCACACAAACACAAAAAGATTTTGTGAAGTTGGAAGGTCTGAATCATTTTTATTGTAGTCCCACAGACTACTTTTGCTGCCCTGCATGCAGTGGTGGAGAATTAGGCCTATGTTCCCGCTGGTATGGTATGGACTGAAGCAACATGGTCTGGGCCCCTTACAGTTTCCAGGATGGCCATGTGGGTGGGATCTGACCTCATCGGCCCCTTACAGTTTCCAGGATTTGGCCCACAGGCCTTGAGTTTAACACCCCTGGCTTATGCTATGCCTGTTTTAGGACCTCCTATACTATAATGTGCATGTTTTCCAACTAAAATAGCAATAGCATGTACTACTTCATAGTGCTTCATAGCCCTCTCTAAGTGGTTTACAGAGTCAGTACATTACCAGCAACAATCTGTTAACTTTCAACAATCATTCAAAGAAACTTCTGCGGTTCACATAAAGAGGTTCCAGAAGTTATCTGTAATCCAGAGGATACAAGGATACAGTCTCAATCCCTCTTTTATCAAAAGAACTTTCATTCACTCTGAAGTTATTGTGGAATCGAAAGCATTACTTGAAAGTAGAGTTCTGAATAACCACTGATCCAACTAATCATTTGGCCATTAAAAGCCTATTGCCTACAAGCTACATTGCCTGAATGAAAATCACAATTCTAATATCTCATACTCCTATATCTATATTGAAATATATAAATCTTGGTAACATGTAGCATTTTAATTACAGATAATCCTAAGACCAATTTAGCACATTAAGAACATTTAATTCTCTTAAGTGAGCAACAATGTTTCCAAAATTATTTTTAATATTATTCATTATTAGAGAATCCAGTATCACTGAGTATTGAAAAGAACACGTTTCATTTTGCACTTTAAGATGTAAGATACAAGATATGTGTTCAATATATAAAATATTTTAAAAGATTTTTTAGAATTTTTATTTTGTTTTGCTCCACTGATAGTTCAATATAGTCAATTTTAGCATTAAGAGTGTTGATGACAGTTACAAACTTATTTTTCTGTTTCCTTAATTAATTTTCAATGTCAAATTTGCCTTGACACTATAAAAGTAATTAGTTTTGTAATGACTAGTTGTATTGTTACAAAAATATTTTAATGTACATTCAGATTATGATGTGCTACATTATGATTTTATAATAATGCCAAACTAAGCTATTGATTTCTATAATGAGTTGCAAAAAAATGTTTCAAGGTTAAGGTAGAAGTGTACTGAGCTCAAAACAAAACTCATGTGTTATGTAAGTTTGGTTCAAAATATTCCGAAAGGTTTTTTTTATACATATATATATACAGATATTTGCAGTGTTTTAAAATATAAGTAAAATCATGGAAACAGTTAAGTGATATTGTTAGGGGAGTTACAATAGGAATAAATGAACGAGACTTCAGTTTTTAGAGTTATTTTGGGTGGTTCTCCCAATGCATAATTCAGGTCTGCAATCCTGTAAAACTTGGAATGAATATAGTCAAATGCATTCCATCTATCTTTAAATGTTACCAAAGGAACAGAAAGATCATTCTTTTAATGGTATTAGAAGAAACCTCACTTCAGAAAAAGGGTGTGTGTATCACATATGACAAAGGAATAGCAATGAACTGTCACTTTTGGGCCTGTAACTCAGAGAGCCTCCATTGCCCACAAGGCAAAATTTGCTGGACTAGTTTTATTGTGTAATAGAAATGTTTATTTGAATTAAAGTACATTTCTTGGAGAGTTCTTGGAGAACGACACTGCTGAAGTGAGCAGTTTGCAAGGTCAGAAGAAGCAGGATGGCTTCTTCTTTCCAAATGTGTGGCATTTTTCCATGAATGAATTTATTCTTTACATAATGTACATATTCAACAAAGCAATACAGAATGACCATAGATGACAGCTTAAAAATACCATGATGTATTTTTAACCAAATACCACTTCTCTCTCCTTCCTATTTGATTGAAAGCACTGACTAGCCCAACTTGGTGCCCATTAGAATGCTTTGGAAGTCAGTTCCCATAATGGAAGAAGACATCGGTTTAGGAAGATAAGCATAAATATTAATCCCTCTTTTCGTCTATATGAAAATCCAACAACTAATTACTAGTTCAAGGATAGTTGAAAATAAAATGTACGCATAGGTATGTGCTTGTATTTACACATACACACATAGATGTACACCAGGCACTTAAAGATGCAAGAAACTACCTCTTGATATGCTAGTTTTTATGAGTAAAAGAAAGAAGTCATAATGTAGTTAAAATCCTAACATACACATTTGATACATTTGTATCACACTCTACAAAACATTCAAGTCTCAGGACTTAAAACATAATATTAGTACAATTATATATTTCTAACTGAGAATGTAAGCGTGAAACTATCACCATGTGTTTTTCAATAGTGGAAGCATTTGTAATGCACATTTATTTCCTTGTTTGTACAGAAGCAACATGAAAAATAAGTATTTTCATAGCCAGAAGACACTGTCTTCTTAATTTAATTCCATGTTTATTTAAAGCACAATACTTGAAATTTCTGAATGCACAAAGGAAGGAAATATTTTATTATTAGTAAAGTTGCCTTTGGGCTCTTATTTGTTATTTCAATTATTTAAGCATATCTCAAAGGAAATACCATTTGTACCTTGTTATTCCCTAAACTGATTTCACAATGAAACTTTGAGTTTAGAGTCTTATCTTTATCTTTATCTCCTAAAACACATAGAAATGGGAATAGATCTGTGCAGAATATTAGACAATTAACACTACATATACATTTGCAGCAACATTATAAAGCAGAATAATTAATAGTTTATACTAAGAGATTTTAGCAACTAAATTTCAAAATATTTTTCAATTGAAGCACTGATATTTACAACATTTGAATATAAAACTTAAATGATTTTATCCCATGGCCTATGAAATGACTATTTGTATTCTAGGTTTTCATAAATCCAAATTGTTTAAATTTTTTTATTATGTTTAAAACAATAAGTCATTTTTAAAATA